CAGCTCTGGTTTCATTGGTCTGTTCTATTGTCTTTTTTACTTTACACTGTGTGTATTTCTGCTCTAATCTTTAATATTTCCTTCCTTCTACTGGTTTGATGTTTTGTTTGTTATTCTTCTAGCTACTTTAGGAGTAATATTAGGTTGTTTAAGACTTTTCTTGATTTTTGAGTTAGGCCTGCATTGCTATGAACTTCCCTCTTAGAACAGCTTTGCTGCATCCCAAAAATTTTGAACAGTTATGTTTTCATTTGCATTCCATGTGTTTATTTCCTCTTTGATTTCTTGGTTGATCCAATCATTGTTTAGTAGCATATTCTTCATATATTTGTGCTCTTTCCAGATTTTTGCTTGTGGTTGATTTCTAGTTTCACAATGTTGTAGTCAGAAAAGATCCATGGTAAGACTTCAATATTTTCTAATTTGTTGAGACTTGTTTTGTAGCCTAATATGTGATCTATTCTTGAGAATGTTCTGTGTGCACTTGAAAAGCATGTGTATTCTGTGGGCACCTGGGTAGCTAAGTTGACTGAGTGTCTGACTTTGGCTAAGATCATGATCTCGCAGTTCATGGGTTCATGCTTCCTACTTTTCTTACTCCTGCCTGTCGTCTTTCCTTTGCACTCAAAGAGATCCTCCTGGATCTGGATTTCTGTTTCCTTCCCCAGATTTAGGAAATTTTCAGCTATTTCTTCAAATAATTTTTCTGTCCCATCCCCTTTCTCTGTCTTCTCATTCTAGGAGCCCTAAAATGCAAATGTTTTTATGCTTGATGGTGTTGCTGAGTTCCCTGAGTCTGTTTATATTTTTTTCTTCCATTCAGCTTGATAGCTTCCCATTACTCTGCCCTCCAGGTCACTGATCCATTCTTCTGCTTCCTCTAGTCTACTATTTATTCCATCTAGTGTATTTTTTATTTTGAGTATTTCATCTCTGAATGGTTCTTTTTTTGTTTTCTATTTCTTTGTTAAGGGTGTCACTCTTTTCTTAAGTCCAGTGACTTTGTTAAGGGTGTCACTCTTTTCTTAAGTCCAGTGATTATCTTTATGACCATTAATTTAAATTCTCTGTCAGGCATATTACTTATCTGTCTTTGTTATCTCTTGCTGTGATTGTGTACTGTTCTTTTATTTGGAACATATTCCTCTTCTCATTTTGTTGAATTCTCTGCATCTTTTTCTTCTGTCTGTTAAGAAAGACAGCTACATCCCCTGTACTTGAAAGTAATGGCTTTATGAAGAAGAGGTCCTGTAGTGACCTGCTGTGCAGTGTTCCCTGGTCACCAGAACCTGGCAGTTTAGGGGTATCTCCTATGTGTGATGTGTATGCCCTACTGTTGTGGCTGATACACTTTTATCTTCAGTCCAAATGTCTGCGATGGCTCTCTTTGCCTATTGTGGGCAGGATTTGGTCCCTGTGTTGTTAGTGGACCAGTCTGGGGCCACCTTTGGCTTGAATTGAGTCAGACCAGGAGTTTGCCAGAGATGCAGTAGCACCAAACTGCAGGGCATTTTTCTTGTGTTGTGTTCTGAGAGACTTTCATTGGTTAATGGGGCCTGCAGTCAGACCAGATATCTGCCCCAGCCCACTGCTAGGGCTGTAATCAGACTGGTGTGTGTGATTATCTTCTCCTCTCCCTGTGACAGGAGTCAGTTTGGAGTGGTGCTGGGCCATCAGGGTTGCTTACACACTGCTAGGCTTTTTGCACCACTTTGGATGGGTGGAGTCTTGTCCTCTCCTCTTTCCATGCCTATATTGTTCTTCCCTCCCACAGACAGTTCCACAGGTCCATTTAGCTTCAAAACACATCTCTGCCCTTCCTACCTCTGCGATGTGGCTCCTTCTTTACATTTAACTGTGGAGAGTCTGTTTTGACAGTCTTCAGATCACTTTCTGGGTTACTTACACTGATGTAGGTGTTATCTTGTTCCATGGGACGAGATGAGCTTAGGGTCCTCCAACTCCATCTTCCCCAAAAGTTTGATGTTATATGTTTTTCAAACAAATATATCAGGTACAAATATCAAAGTAAGTGCTATCCTTTAAATCATCATTTTTGAAAGGAAATAAATTTATTCCAACAAACTACTCAAAGCACTTAAGTAGCTCATGATACTTGAGATGATCCTGGTATTAGTTTGTAAACCACCTAAGAAAAGAGTCTCATTTATTGCTCCTTATTTTAGATTTTATACTATTTCATCATACACCTTATTCACTAAACTTAGTTTTGAATGATTTAAGAGATACTGTCAAAGAGTATGTTTCAAAGCAGCAACATCTATTAAACTTTCTGCAGCAATGGAAATGTTCTATGTCTGCACTGTCCAATTTAGTAGCCACCAGCCACATTCGGCTGTTGAATACTTGTAATGTGGCTGGAACAATTAAAGGACAAAATATTTTATTTTATTTTAATTAACTTAAGTTGAAATAGCTGCATATGTCTAATGACTATCAAATTGGGCAGCATACAGAGCTTAAAGCCATCACCAAAGACAAGTTCCTGAAATACTTTTGCCTTCAATATATGCCAGCAATCTTATTAAAATTAATGTATGATCTTAATAAATGGCTAATCTGCATATATAAATTGATTTTTGTGTTAAATAAAACAGTGATACTGCTATAAAGATTCATTTCATATGCCAGTGTCTACTCTTCAAATACTCTCATACCTCTTATTTAAAGACCTTGTTCCATTTTGTGGGTCCAACACAACACAGAATCACAAGAGAGTCAATAGTGACCACTGCAATTGAAGAAGTATTCTTTGGGAACACAGAGCTCAGGTCTGTCATGGATTTTGCCTCCTAGGCAGTTCCCCTCTCCAATGATGCAATAATGAACAAAGTAAAAAGGTCAAATCAAGAAGGCATGTACTTTTGGAGCTGGTAAACAAATAGCAGAACCAAGATGTCACGAGACTTCAACTGTGAGTGAAGTTTTGCCAAGACAGCCGACATCACTCAACATTAAAAGGCAAGAGACCATTGACAATGAGATAATATCAGCCTTCTGTGCTGACAAAGGGGCTGCTGTGCACAGCTCCACTGAGTTGAGTTGGTGTCGCAAAGGAATGCCAATGTAACATCCAGGCCTCTGCTACACGGCAACTGATTTGGGTGGGTGGCAAAGGTTTTAGAAGCCTGGCATATGCATCCATCTTTCCAGTCTCACAGTTCAGTAACTTGAAATACAAGAAAATATACTTTTGCTCATGAATCTCCTTGGTCAAGTTAACTTCTGGACATGTCATCTCCTACATGCACATATACGCCAATACATACAACATTAGCATACTGATTATTCTGGGCCCTTTTAGCTTTATTTACTTGTATATTTATTTAATTTCAATGAAAGTTTAAAAAGGTGTATTCACAACATAAATTTACATTTACCATATGCTTATTAATTGACAGATTAAATAATAATGACCATATTATAAGATACTTGTGAGATATTCATGTTTTTGAAATTTTACTTTGATGAATTTGAAAGGAAGCAGAAATAAATCACAGCAGAGTTAATGACCTTAATTATTTTTAAAAATTTATTTATTTAAATTCAAGTTAGTTAACATAGAGTATAGTACTGGTTTCAGGAGTAGAACCCACTGATTCATCACTTATATATAACGCCAGTGCTCATCCCAGCAAGTGCCCTTCTTAATGCCCATCACCCATTTAGCCCATCCCCCACCCACCTCCCCTCTAGCAACCCCGTTTGTTCTCTGTGTTTAAGAGTCTCTTATGGGGGCGCCTGGGTGGCTTAGTCGGTTAAGCGTCCGACTTTCGCTTAGGTCATGATCTCGCGGTTCGTGGGTTCGAGCCCCGCGTCGGGCTCTGTGCTGACTGCCAGCTCAGAGCCTGGAGCCTGTTTCAGTCTGTGACTCCCTCTCTCTCTGACCCTCCCCTGCTCATGCTGTCTCTCTCTCTCCTAGAAATAAAAAAAAAAAAAAAAAAAAAAACATTAAGAGTCTCTTATGGTTTGCCTCCTTCTCTGTTTTTGTCTTATTTTTCCTTCCCTTTCCCTGTGTTCATCCGTTTCGTTTCTTAAACTCCACACACTAGTGAAATTATACATTTGTCTTTCTTTGACTGACTCATTTCACTTAGATAATACACTCTAGTTCCATCCATGTTGTTGCAAATGGCGAAATTTCATTCTTATTTTCAATGATATTAACTTGCACTTCAAATGTGGAAATTTCCCAAGAAATCTGTCCACCCATGAATTCATTTCAAATTCCTATATTTGATATATTTTCTCTGCATTTTAAAAACTGATTTTGTTTCTTTCTTTTTTTTTCTTAAATTGTTTATTGTCAAGTTAGTTTCCATATAACATCCAGTGCTCATCCCAACAAGTGCCCTCCCCCATGCCCATCAGGGAGGGAGGCAAACCATGAGAGACTCTTGAGTGCTGAGAACCAACTGAGGGCCGATGGGGTTGAGGGAGAGGGGAAGGGGAGGTGATGGGCATGATTTTGTTTCTTTCTTTAGTATTTCAGAGATGGGGAACAAATCTCCACAATCTTTGACCTTCAAAGTGCTTTATTTTTTTATCTCTAATAAATTTTATTATTTTGGTGACACTAGTAATTGAGTAAGAAGAACAAAGAGTACAGTGTTATGACACACCCACAGTGAAACAATAAGTAAGAAGTAGAGATAGTACTAAACCACAGAATATTAGCACAAAATATTATCACAGAACACCAGTACGTATCTGGATGTAGTAAATAAAGTATTTGTTTCTTTTAAAGTATTGACAATAATTATTGCTGAACAGGCATAAACACAATTATCTTCCTACCACTAATTGACTCAAGGCATTCTCTTCTCCAGAATGAACATTGTTTCCATTTTACCCACCTAATCCAATGAATATTGACTTGCTCCTGAAGTGCCAGAACTTCTAATCTTCCTGAATGCTCTGATTTACCATAACCTCCTTCCCGCCAGAAACCAACCAGACCTCCTCAAGATTTGAGTTACCTTAACATTTTCTGGCAATGGTTTGTTCTGGGTCAACGCCACAGCAATCAAAGCAATCACAGCAATGATAGAGGAGAAGCCAAGGATGATCAGTATATTTCTGGAACAAAAATTCTTCAGTCCAGAGTCTAAAGCCAAAAACAGAAAAGAAAATATCAATAATAAGTCAACAAACATTGAATTTCCTCCACTTTCTATATGGTCTTGTGCTAGCTATCTGGAGACCTCAAAGACAGATCAAAGTTCATCTTTATCCATAAAACACTTGCAAAGTAATAGGGAAATAATTCAAGAACAAAAGGATTTGTCTTCTCTCCACTGCTCCTTAATCTCAAACCCATTTAAGTACAAAAGTGAAATTGCTTAGGTGCTAGCAACAGACAGACAGTAATTAATGGAGCATCATAAGTATGAGGAAAATAAAAACTGATTCACAGTCATGAGGTGATAGCAGAGTTGAAACACAGGAAACCATTTCTCAGGTAAATCATGTGACTGATACCTAGGCAGAATTTTCTCTCTCTTCCTTAAGAAACCATGTATGACTGGAGAGATGATCAGACATTGAAAATGTAAGATATTTGTCATTTTAATATTCAAACATAACTTGAAGATTTCTATTACTTTGTGTTAAAATAATTTTTAGTATGCCTTAGGCTCTTCAGAACACCTTATTTTCATGACCAGATTTAGCGAATGGACTTGCTATTCTTGGTGTAACAACAAATAGTTTCACACAACAGTTTCAATACTTTTGTGCCATAGCATTATTGACAGAAAAAAATAAACAAGTAAAAAAAGAAAAAAAGGATTTGTTTGTCCTGTGATGAGAGCCAAGACTGAATTAGTGGCTGTGGTAAGGAGAATGGACAGAATTAGGTCAGTGATCAGATAAGGAATGAAGAGAAAGAAGAATCCCAAATTGGCAGTTTAATAGGTCATATAGGTCTATCACAGTACAAGTAACAAATAACAAAAAAGTTAGAATCATCCTCATTTCTCAAATCTACTACAAAATGTTTAAGATGTTAAAAAGTATTCAGAACATATCATCAAACATGAAACTCCTACTACCCCAAGATGTCTTCTGGCTTGACACCCCCTTGCATTTCTAGCACACTTATATGTTGTAATTGGTAATAGCATAGAGGCTGTAGAGTTTTGAACCTGTCATCATTCACATAATCCCATCTATTCTGTTCTTAGCCTCAACCTGTCATGGGACATAAAAAGGCTCCAGAAAATGATATAAAAGGCAAAAATTACTTTGATCATTTTAAACAGAGCATATAGCAGAAGTGAACAAGAAATGGAATGCTGCCCCATTCCCTCCATTCTAACAACTCACTCTCTTCCTCTCTCAAACTATCCCTAAACTTTTTTCTTAGGCTTTGAAGAAGGATAGGATAAAGCAATAAAGAAGCACGTGGAATGAGATGGGCTCTGCAGAAGAGACTGCAGTTCTCTAAAGACAAGGCATGGGATTAAAACAGCTGAAAGAGGAGCCCATTGAGTCTCCCCCTCTGGGCCTCCCTCTTGATCAGCAGCAGACAGGGCATGCTGACACCGGAGCTCCTTCTTAATCTCTTGAGCAGAAGCTTGGATTTAATCCAAAGAACTATAACTGTATGGGTCTCCAGTCTGCTCATCAACCTCTAGTATCTTGACCAATCTTTACCCATCAGACCAAACAGTACAAAACTTAGGAGAAAAAGTTTTAACAAAACCATTAGCTACTGCTTCCAAACACAGGAACAATAGATGAAATACACAGCACTTCTCCCCCTTCTCCCTTCTCAAAAGAAGTTCAATTTTGTTCAGATGCTTGCCATTCCCCCAAGTGGTCCACATAACTCATGGGAAAAGGATATAGCCCTCCAGCTGAGAGGCAAGCCTGATTGTTTTGCATAATCTCATTCCCTTACCAGTGACTAGTTCAACAATGGATATGTACCCAAAAATAGCCCATGAGATCGTGGAGGAAGGCTGCTGGGGCAAGTTCAGGAAAAGAAAGGCAGCATTCTCATCTTCCTCAGACATTGCCCTGCCCGGATAGGATAGCATCCAATGATGGCAGAACACAGAGATGGAGAGAACTTAAGTTTTTGATGGCATTTTGAACTGGTAAAACAACAAACCCTGATGCAATCCTCCCATGAGACTTATGCTTTGGCTCAGTTAGAATCAAGATTTTAATATTTTGAAGCCAAAACATCCTAATTGTTAACTAGTGTGGCAGAAGTCTCCTGTTTGATGCCAGGGCTCTGGAATCTGGGAAAGAGCACCCCATAGGTACCACCTGTCTCAGTTCCCAAAGTTATGATATCGACAATTACAACTCCTAACAAGTAGCACTTTGGAAGAACAGTTACAAATCTAATGCCCAAGGGTAGCACACTGCAGCAATGTTTCTACTTTAATTGCATTTTGAATGCTCTACTCCCTCAAACTGTTCCAAAAAAAATCTACCTATTAAGTTATTTTGTTCTCATAAATATGACAATTTTGCTATCTCACTTTTCTTCCACAACCATTGGGCACTAATCTTAGTAGTGAAAAAGACCAACAAAGCCTCCACTCTTTGGAATTCACAATCTAGCTGCGGAGATAAATAAACCAGAACAGAAGTCATAAATAAAATACTTCAGGTCATGATACATGCTAAGAAGAAATTAAAACTAAGGAACATTTACAGCTTAGTGGAAATTGAGTAATGGAATATGGAGCAAAGTTGCAGTGGAAGAATTAAACGGAATCAGAAAAGCCTCTCCAAGAATGTGACATTTGAGCTGAGACCTGGATGTTGAGAAAACACCAGCTATAAGGAGTAACAACATTCCAGAAAAAGGGAACAGCAGCTGCAAAAGCCCTGAGGTAAGAAACAGCTTGATGTGACTCCGTTTCTTCCATTTCCTAGTGAGATTATTCACTAACATCATTATTCTTGAAAGTGAGAAATGTACTTTCTCACATTTGCCCAGCTTTTCAATGACATTCATATTATTAGAATATACTGAAGACTTTCATCATATTCTTATTAAAGATATGACAAGAAAAAACTTAGAGATAAAGCCTAGGAATTTTTCATACACAATTTTTAGAAGCTTTATTACCAAAAAATAATGGCTAAGTTTGTTTTTCATGTAACTGGCTAGATTACCAGGGAGGAGTAATTAAAATACTACCATGTTTTCTATGGATTATGGCAGGCAGTTTTCCAAAGCCCTGATCACATGCAGGAAGCCAGACTCTTCTTAGGAGGTGGTCCAAATGTACCACTAAACACGGGGGTCCAGGTGGGACTTAGCTGTGATGTGCACATAAAAAGGGAATGACTTAGGTTACCTCTTCTCTGGCCCCCAGAGCTCTTTAAGATGTCATGACTGCTATTGTCAAATCCTGTTATGAAAAATTCACAGTGACTGTCTCTCCCAGCCTCCTTAAAGAGTCCTTTGTTTGCCTTGTGGATAACAGAAATTTGGTTTCTATCACACAATGTGAAATGCCATTTCAAAAAACAATTTCAAGAAGCATTTTTTAATCAAAATATCTAATGGCAAAGTGTTGTTTGTTTTCCTTTGAATTGTCTCACTATACTGGAAAATTCAAGATTACCACTTCCTTCCCATTTTTTCCCTTTCATATGATGAGCAAGAAAATGTTTCTATTTAAGATGAGAGAATCAGGTAGATTCTCTTGTGTCTTCTTTTTGTGATTCTTTTGTGCCTTCACTTGAGGCACAAAACTGATGGAAACCCAAGCTTTGAGAAAACCAATTGATTTCAATCCAATTAGCTATGTCTGGAGAGAAAAAACCCAACAAAACAAAAAATGATTTTTTGATTCTTATACAGCAGCCATCCTGACATCTATAGTAAGAATCCTATTAAAGTGAAGATCAATAGTATTTAATTTTTTCCTTAGAACAAATTCTGCTGAACAGAGAAATCCTGGCATCTCTACTTCATGATATCAAAGATGCAATATGTTAAAATTTTACTACATGAGCAAAAGATTTGGAGTGTTGGCAGATGCGGTGGGTTTAGGCAAAAACAACTAAAGTTTTACTCTACTGATCCTGTGTGACTCATTAGATTCAGACTGTTTCCAATTTGATGGGTCACATCCAGACTAAGCTTGGCACATTACATGGAGAAGAGCAAACACAGACAAGTGCTGGTGAGTAAACACCAGTAGAGTGCTGTGGTCCTTCATGTGGGTATTGACAAAGCCCAGTGACAGGACAGTCACTGAAGTTCAAGGGACTGATCCTAATCTGGCCCCACCATTCCCCCAAATCCCAGTGTCAAAGTCCCCGCACCATTTCTCCTATCTTCTTTCCTTTCCATCAAGTAGTTGTTCTTAGTGACACACATTTAGATTGTTCTCACACTCCAGGGTTTTAAATCCTTTCTCAATTTCTCAGTTCATTCCAGGTGCCTTAGACCCACCCTCTTCTGTGGCAGTATCCACTCTGGTCCAGTCACTTCCACCTCTGCTACAACAGATCTTTCTCATACCTCCCACCCTTTCCAGTGCCCTTCATTATCAGAATCCATCCATTGTGTGGCTGCAGAAATCTCCCATAACTGACATTCCCATGGTTCTTCCTGATCAAGAGTCTAAGGAAGCTTCCTGTGGGCTGCCAGATGAAAGCCATTCTGATCTACCTGATGTCTCAACCCTCTGGAAATGTAAGCCCTTTCTTAAAAAAAATTTTTTTTTAATTTATTTTTGAGAGACAGAGAGAGACAGTGTGATCAGAGGAAGGGCAGAGAGAGGCAGAGAAAGAGAGAGGGAGACAGAATCTGAAGCAGGCTCCAGGCTCTGACCTGTCAGCACAGAGCCCTATGTGGAGCTTGAATCCACAAACCATGAAATCATGACCTGAACTGAAGTTGGATGCTTAACCAACTGAGCCACCCAGGTGCCCCTGTAAGCCCTTTCTATCTACCAATCCAAGAAGCGGATGTTTTTCTCCAAGATTATACTGCCTGACATTATGATCACTAGAATGTAAGTACCTTGAGTATAGGGACTTTTCTTCTGGCTTGTTCATTGCCATATTCCCAGCTGAATGAATAAATGAATCTTGGATTCTGGTTTTTCCTGAGAAATCTGAAATTTCTATCATTTAGAATTCTATTCCCCTCTTTCTCCACATCTTTTTCCTTATCTCTTTTAAAATCAAGCTCAATAGGAGGCTATGTTCCCATCCACATGCTTCAAAGCTCAACTGTTCCAGTAGTTCTCTCTTCATGTGCTGCTTCTGGATACTTAATGGATTGACCCATTTCAGTTTGGGAGGTCTATTGGTATTGTGGGGGAGGGGCTATGCTTCATTTGTTCTTTCACTTAGTCATTCAATAACTACTTATTAGTCACTTATCGTCATTTGTATTATCTATACTCAACACCATAAGGGTAAATAAGAAATCATCAAGGGCCTTTAAAGTACCACACCTGCCTCTTGTGATGAAGTGCTGAGGCTACCCACGTGAGGTACCCCCACTTTCATAGTGAAGTGCTGAGGCTACCCCCATTGTCATAAGACAATCACACAACAAGTAGAGACAGAGCCTGGCTCTGTTGAAGCAGAGACTGTACCAAGACCAGGTGAGATGGATCCAGGAGGAATAAATACCTTCTCTATACCTTCCGGCCATGATGGATCAGGAACAGAGGTCTTCTCTATACCTTCCGGCCATGGTGGATCAGGAACAGAGAATCTTTGCTTAAAGAACATCATCATGAAGGGTCGCAGAGCCAATAGTCACCATCATCCATGAGCACAATGCTAAACTCCACAGACTTCTAAAGGGTAGCTCAAGCTGCAGCAGAGGCCGGACAAGCTCATCATTGCTCAGCCACTCTAAGCCTCCATTTCCTCATGTGCAAAATGAGGTCTTAATAGTACTTACTTCATAGGGTTGCTAGGTAAGATTCAATGAGCTAACAATACATAGCAGCCTATGCTTCAAGAGCCATCACAGCACTCCAGATTCTGCTCTTAGAACTTTAAATATAGCCACCCATTTAACCCTCACAACAATCCTGTGAGATAGATGTACTATTATCATCTACATCAGTTTCCTAGGGCTATCAACAACAAACTACCACAAACTTGGTGACGTCAAGCAATAGAAATTTATTCTCACACAATTCTGGAAGGCTGAAGTCCATAATCAAGGTATCAACAGGGCCAAAGCTCTGGAGGAGATTTCTTTCTTGTGAATTCCAGCTTCTGGTGGATCCTGGCATTCTTTGGCTTGTGGCTGCATCTCTCTAATCACTGTCTGCAGATGTGCTATATTTCCCTCTCTTTTATCAGGACACCAGTCATTGGATTTAGGACCCACCCTAAATCCAGAATGATCTTAAGATCCTTAATTACATTAGCAAAGACCCTTTTTCTAAATAAGCTCACAGTTTACAAGTAGGTACTATTATCATCATCATTGTCATTTTACAAGTGAAGAAAGTGAGTCACAGAGAGGGTAAGTAAGCTGTCCAAAGTTACACTGATGTAGATGTTGGGACCAGGAAGTAAGCACAGGTATTCTGGACCCAGAGGCCTGGCTTTTAACCACTGCCCTACCCTATACCACATTACTGAGGCTTAGTACAGTGCCTGGCACATAGTCCTGGTGCTGTATGTGGGAGCCAATCCCATCATTCAGAAGTGAAAAGTGACTGACTGAGGATTTGCCTATAAGAGTGGTTGTTGTCACAGTTCACAGCAGACAATGTTGTGCCTTTAAAATAGAGTCTTTTGTCCCTAGAAGTCAGAAGCTTGGAGCTAAGTAGGAGAGGCTGAAATTGTAATTCCCCAAGAAGTTAAGGGATTTGGTCAAAGTCATACATTTTTCTGGTTTGTTTTTTGAGAGCAAGAAGGAGCAGAGAGAGAGGGAGACACAATCTGAAGCAGGCTCCAGATGCAGAGAGCCCAATGTGGTTCAAACCCACGAACTGTGAGATCATGACCTAAAGCTGAAGTCAGATGCTTAGCTAACTGAGCCACCCTGGTGCTCCGTAAAGTCATACATCTTGCAAATGACACAAAGGGTTTCAATCCAAGTCTCTGACATCCACCTCACTGCCTCAGCCATTGCTCTGTATTAGGGACACGTAGAAATGAATTACTCAGCTTTGTTCCTTGACTCAATGCAAAAGAACTCACCCTAAGTTCTGTTCAAATGGAAAGATCTTATTCCATCTCATACCCCCCATATTTTCCCAATTCATAAATCCAGAGTCAGATTTGAGGACAAAGATGTTTAATTTGGTAGGGTTTATTTTTTCCTGTGTTTTAAGTCAAGGAAGTTAGTACAATGTCAACAAATACACAAATGCTAAAAATAAACTGAAAGGCCTTGATGATGACTAGTTAGTTAAAGGGCAAAAGGCAAAGGAGAGGAAGGAAAACATGATTGGCCCAGGCTTGGGAGACATGGGCAAGAAGACAGAGCCAGAGAATAACAGGGGAAGGGAGAGGTGGGGATGACAATGGAAAGAGAGGGAGAGATGATTAATTGAGTAAATTACCCATGCCCTGTCCTACTGATCTCTTGAACCACAGACTTCAGAGGAAGTTATTTGCTTCTATTTATGATCATTTATTCCTAATCTTTGAAATGTTAATTAGCTGACTAATCTCAGTCCACAACTCTTTAGAAAAGGAGCTCATTTATCTTAACAAAGCTGCCCGGCTTGTCCTTAGTGAGCCCCATCTGAGGCTCAGCTTTGGGCAGAAGAAACCCAGCTAGGGACACTCAGGCAGTGTAAATGTGAGTAGAGGTGCAGAATAAGCTCTTCCTGCAAATCAGATTCTGCCACCGCCATGTTCCCCTCCCCATAGCTCTTGCTGTAAACTGTGCTCTCTTCAGATTAGCAGTGAGTAACTGACTTTGCATTTGGTGTGCCTGACTCGAAAAATGTTAATGACTGCAAAAATCAAATGCCAACAGGGGCTCTATGTGAAAAATAAGGAAGCAAAGGAGTCTCCTTCCTCTCTCCTCCTACTTCCTCCCACCATACCATCTACCTCCTTACCCACACCCCTTCTGGCCTCTCCTGAATTATTTTGCCCATAGACTGCATGGAGCACAATAAGTCTTTGTGGTCATCATGGAATCCCATATTCAAGTATAGGGCTGGCAAGGAAGAGGGTTGTTTCCAGCAAAGTGACATCACTGAGACTGCAGACAGGAATTCCCTGTGTCCCAGCCAACAAGTGTAACAATCTCGTGTATTGATGGTCTCTGCATTAAGCACATTGCTTTCACTAAATGAATCCTCTCCATATCTGAATGGAAGAATTGCACCCTGGGGACTCTACCCTTTCTCAAAGCATCTGCATTTGTCTACAAGGTTTGGTTAGTTGCAGCCAGTGAGAAAGACTATTAAGATCTGTCCTGGCCATATATCACGAGAGTGGGGGTCAGAGCCAAGGTGGAGTAAACTCAGGCTACCTAGATAGTCCTCTGTGTTCTATACCTTACAGTCATAAATTCTCTCATTTCTATCTCCACCTCTTTGCACCCATGAGATAGAAAAGTCAGAAGCAACATAAAAATATTTCTGCAGCAAAATATGCCATACACAAAATAAAAAATTACAAACTAAGAAAAAGGTTTGCAACAGCTATGAACCAGTTTCCTTAATATAGAGAGTCATTAAAAATCATTAAGAATATGATCAACCTATCTAACAGAAAAACAAGCAAGAAACATGAATCGGCACTTAAAAGAAATATATTCTTAACATATTAAATGTATTCTAAGTGTCCTTAATTAAAGAAATGTAAATGAAAAAATGAAATAGCTTTTATCACTTATCAGAATAGAAAAGGGTTTTTTTTATTTGATAACATTACTACATACTTATTAGAATGGCCAAAAAAAAAAAAAATACTGACAATACCAAATGTTGGCAAAGGATGTGGAACAACTAGAACTCTCATATTTTGCTGCTGGGGATGCAAAATGGCACAGCCACTTTGGAAAGAGTTTGGCAGTCCTTTATGAGGTTAAACATATAACAGCATGACCAGGCAATCCCACTCTTAGGTATTTATCCAAGGAGAGTTAAGACATAGGTCTACACAAAAACCTGTACCTAGGTATTTGTAACATCTTTCAAAACTCAAAATAACCCAAATGCCCATCAACTAGTGAATGTACCCAAATTATGACAAAATCATACAGCTTAATTCTACTCAGCAACAAAAAAGGAATAAACTGCTTATGAATGCAACAACATGAATGAATCTCAAAGCATTATGCTAGGTGAAAGAAGACAGATTCAAAAAGGCCATATACTGTATGATTTAATTTATTCAATATTCTGGAAAAGCAACTCTTAAGGACAGAAATCAGATCAGTGGTTAGAGTTTCAGGGACAGAGGACTGACTACGAAATGCAAAAAGTCATGAGGAAACTTGCTGATGACAGAAATACTCCATATCTTGATTGTGATGGTATTAGATGACTATATACATTTGTTTAAAATTCATAGAACTGTATGCCTAACAAGGGTGAATTTTAAGTAAGGAAATTCAATAAAGAAATTCTATTTATCAACAAGGAAGTAGGGAAACACATTTCTTACATGTTGGTGAGAGTAAAAATTCATACAACATCTTTGATGGGTGACAGTTTTGTAATACGTATGAAAGAGTAAAGTGTGTATATCCTTCAACCTCAGAATTCTACTTTTAAAACTTTAACCTGATGATAATACTTATGAATATATGAAAAAATGACTGTGTAAGGATGTTTGGTGCAGCATCATTTGTAATAGCAAGACTAAAAATGACTAAAGGTCCATTAATTGGGGTCTGGATATTAAAATTCTAAAACACTGCAGATAATATTATGCAGGCATGAAAAAAAAGATTTTGATATATGAATGTTGACACAAACTATCTTCAAAATATTTTTTATATGCAAAGCAAAATGTGGAACAATATGTACACTATGTTCCCATTGGATAAAGGCATAGACATCTCTAGAAGAATATGGATTTGCTAGGACTCAGGATTCAGCATATAGTCATACTCATGGCTAAGATTTACAGGCTAAGACTTACAGTGAAAAGATAAGCAAAGAGAAAAAAAAAAGCATGGGACTACATCTGGGGAAAACAGGTACAAGCTTTCAAGAGTCTCCTCCCAGTGGAGACCACAGGACATACTTAATTCCCCCAGCATTGAGTTAGAACAATATATGTGAAATATTGCCTACCAGGGAAGCTCACCAGAGACTCAGTGCCCAGAGCTTTCACTGGGAGCTGACACATAAGCACCTTCCATTCAGCACACACCAGTATTCCAGACTCCCAGAAGGAAAGCAGGTGCTCAGCACAAACTATGCTACCTGTGCAGTCCAAGCACAGCGAGCCATCCCCACCAGTTCTCAGAATGGTGAGAACTCTTCTGAAACCCAAGTCGCCAGACACCAAGGATAGCAGTCCCAGGTCTGCATGTTGATTCTCTTCTGCACTGAGCAATTCTTAAAATGTTTTACCATGTGATATTCCTTACTCACTCCCTCCCTCCTTTTCCTCCCTTACCTCTCCTCCTTCCTCTCACCCTCCCCTCCCTCCTTCCTTCCTTCCTTCCTTGATTCCCTGAGTAATTTAAAATTCTTAATAGAAATTCCTAAAAACCCAGAGGCTTTGAGTTGGAGAAGAAATATTTACAGAGGTTTCCAGATTGGAGAAAAATGGCAAAGATGCTAGGAACCCAGAAGGGAAGGAAAGAGTACATAGGAAGTGGTGCACTGGTAGTTTGATGCTGACTTTGCTGATATCCTGTGCACTGCCACCCTGCTACCCACTGACCAACCTTGATGAGGCCAAGTAGCCATCTCTGGATCCCC